AAAAATCTACCAACAAAAATCTCTGTTGAACAAATTAAATGGTTTAAAATCAATAAAATCGTAAAAAAAAAAAAAGTAAGAAACAATTGCACTACTATTCAGTAGTATTTTGTATTAAAAGTAATTAATAATAACGTAAAAAAAAAAGAATTTTTTTATTTTATTATCAAAACTCAAAAGAAGAAATTATGCTCCCTAAAATAATTTTCTAGCCGTCCTTCTAAACAGCAAAACTTTGTTTATAATATGTCATCATACACTTTACATTATGAGAAACTAGAATTATTAAACAGCTGTCTTAATTTTGCTCTACCGCCAGTATTTATAAAAAAGACAGACGTTTTTACTCAGTTTGATAGCATTGCACAGTTTTTTTAGAAACCAACTTAAAGGTAGTGATTCTGAACGTCAACTAAAAAGTGAACTTTCTCATTTAGCGAATAATTTTTTACATAAATACCCACCATCTGAAGGTTGTCTAAGAAAACACAAAATATTGAAGAGACTTGATAAAAATGAAAACATTGTAATTACAAAACCAGGAAAAGAGAATGGTATAAGTATTTTAAATAAGTTGACTATATTAAATCTTTAACTGATATTATAAGTGACAAAACTAATCTTAAGTAGTTAAAAGACAGTCCAACTATTAAAAGAGAACAATCTTCAAATGGATATCTTAGGAAACTTTAAAAGAGAACAATCTATACATGGGTACTTTAGGAAACATAAAAATATAATTGTTTTGAAAATGACGTTTACAATAAGATTTATTCTTTTGGTTCACAAAAAGCAAGAGTTTATGCTCTACCTAAGATACAAAAACTCAGTAAAGGTTCTTCTCTGCCACCTTTTAGGCCAATTCTTTCAAAACATTAAGTTGATATAACTAACAAATATGTAGTTTCCAATGATGTTGAATACTTATTTACTAATATTCCACTTAATGAAACTATAAATAAAGCTACTGGTTTATACTTTAAAGATGAAGCGTGTTTAAAATCATTTTCAAAAACTCAAATCAAAAAGTTAATTCAAATTTCAACATCCGGTTTACATTTCTTATTTAACGGATAATATTATGATCAATTAGATGGTGTTGCCCTGGGTTCTCATTTATCGCCAACTATAGCTAGATTATTGAACATCTTACAAGTGACAAACAATCTAATGTTCATAAGCATTTAATCTCATCTGTTAATTGTAAATCTCTAAGTAACTGTAAATTTTTTAAAAATTTCGATGCTGCTCCTAACAAAAGCAATTTGAAAATTAAATGAACACTCCATTTTAAATGAGAAAACCCATCTTTAAATAAACAAACTGTTCATTATATGGTTTTTGTCTGAACTTTTTAAATTCTCTTTTAATGAACAAATTTAAAACATGAATATGTAGCATTACATGACCGTTAGTTAACCTTAATGTTAATGAGATTAAATTACTCCATTAACTTTTAGTTAAATTAACTTAGTTAACCTTAATTAACATTAAGGTTAACTAATTTAATCTCATTAACATTAAGGTTATCTAGATATTTTCGAAAACTTCTTTAAACATTTTGTTTTTTACTCTCATTTTTAATTTTTAATTTTAGTTACAACGTACTTATATTTTAAATCTTTGTACGGCTAAATAAATGGAAAAAAATTTTTAGAATAGTTAGTGTTTATATTTTAAAAAAAATACGCATTGTTTGATATTCATATTATGTATAAAGACTATGTGGAAGTTAATAAATTTAACTTACTTGTTTAAGGAAAACAACATCTTTCATACCTTTTAAGAGTAGTAGTTGTAAGTTATTAAATATTACAATGATTAAAGTCTATAGAGCGTGCAAAGAAGAAAAAGTAATTGACTCGGGCTCAACGAGTTAAAGTAACGCACAAAAATAAAAGTTTAAAAAAAAAGTATAATACTCTTATTTTATTAAAAAAGTATAACATTCTTAACTTTATTGAAAAAGGCTCATTTCTTACATTTTTGTCTTGGGTTCAAAACTTCTCGCTGCACCACTGAGCTTAATGAATGAAGAACTAAAACGGTACTTTTTATTCCGTTTGGATCATGTTTTTTGTCATTTTTTATTAGATTTGATCATTTTTTGATTATCATCTGTCTTAAACTGAATTGGTTTTGCCTAAAGTACTTAGCCGTGTCCTATAAACTGTAAAACAGAGCCCGATACTTTGACAAGAATAGCCCAGTGAAGATAGCAGGGTTTAATAAACCAAAACTGAAATCTTAAATGAACAACAATCAAATATAACATTGCTAAAACCGCACTATTATTGCATTTTTTCACATTCTTATATAAAAAAAATGCAACAAAATTTTAGTGGTGTGAAGTATTTTGACTCTAAAGAAGGCAATTTGTAAATAAATAATTCATATTTAGAACCAGAGGCGTCGCGATAAGGTAGCCAGGGTTGAAAAATTCCAAAGGACCACAGTTGCTTAAGTAAAATAGAGAGTCACCAATTTTAATAAAAGGTTACATAACCTGATGAACAACTGTCAAAGATATGTATAAATTTTTTTTTCCAAAAAATAAGTTGCGAAGCCACTAACTAGAATGGGCAGCAATTTTCATTTTTGACGGGCACCAGAAGTTTCAAAAACAACCTTGCTGAGAATCAGCATCATTTTCACAAAAAAACACCTTATAAAGAAAAACTATATAAAATCGGTAAATTATAATTTTTATTTGTTTATTTTTGTTTTCGTTTGAAAAATACATAACAAACAAATAGGTTTATATTAAATGAAAAAATAAACACTTACAAAACGAGCCTTCGAAAAAAAAGTTATTTTAGTTAATTCTGAACTAAAGGCCATTAAAATATTTGATTAAGGTTATAATTTACAACAACATGCTTACAAAATATTGTCTGCAACATTTTTCAATGATAATTTACAAGTATACACAAAACCCTGCAACATCTCTTTGAAAATCAAACAAATCAACAAGAGGACAAGAAGCACGTTTCTGAGACTTGACCTTTAACAAAAGAGATGAAACGTAAAACCAAATACGAAAAAATGTAAAGCAATATTTACTAAACTTAATAAATCAAAGGAATT